TTAGCTTTCGAGGAATCCACAACACAACATCTAGTAAGCAACCAAATCATATTTTGATGATCATCATACCATTGGTTCACATTTGGGAAAGCATGAAAGCGTCCTACGACTACATATCTCAGTCAATCGAGGCCAGGATTCCTCAGTTGGGGTACCTAACAAACTGGATAATGAAATTCCATCGTTATATTTTGATAGCATTATTACTGAAACACAAGCTAAGTTCGCACTTTTTGTGGTAGAAGTTACCGAAAAGTTGACTTCAATTGGTCCTCTTGAGATTTGCCCTGGAATACAGGTTTCCCAGTGACCATCTCTCCAAATACACAACCGACAGACCACATATCAGCTTCCTTTGAATATCGACGTGATCCAAAAAGAAGTTCAGGAGCACTGTACTCTGAAGTTTTTATCTGTTAAGAGGGAAGTCATCATAGAATTTGATTTTCAAATATCACTGTTGGTTTGCATGTATAACTTTCAAAATAATTACTGTAAGTTCCAATGAAAAACCATGACACTCAATAAGAAAATACAAAGAACTTGATCTAAACCAGCGTCGACTTTGCATAAGGTGTGCAATAAGAAAACTAAGGATCGGGGTTATACAGGATAAGTTGTCCAAGGATCTTCAAATGAACCGGCGAAACCGAAGTCAGCTAGCTTGATCTCCATATTTGACGTCATTTGCAAGTATTTTGGTTTTATATCTCCGATGACAATCTCACATGTATGATAATGAGCTACTGCAGAGAGTATTTGATGAAACAACCGCTGATCCATCAATCACCAAAACACGCTTAGTAACGCAGAAAGAATTTATATCTGATATACAAGTATATTATACTAAAAAGAGGCAAGACGACTTGGTTTCAGATGTACAACTATACGAACTTATGAATAAATGCTTTAAAGAACAGGAGAAAGAAGAGCGGAAGATTCTAACGAATTGCCTGCAAGATCTCAGAAAGATTAACTTACTTTTATCAGTGGAACTCTAAGGTTCTTTGGTTGCTCTATGAATATGACAGATCATCGGAAAAACACTCATAAACAATATACAAGTAATTTTGCGTGGGGATTGTATACAGCATCCTGATACAAAAACAACTTATGTATTATTTCATCGACCATTTGTTTATTTGAAATACTCAAAGAAATATTAAAAGTGAAGAGTCCGAGACCAACCTAGCGACGTTTCGATGATTTAACAACCGATGAAATGCAATTTTTCCACTCATCGATTGTCGGAATGCTTCATTTTTTCCAGGATTGACAATCTTCTTTATGGCTACCAATTTTCGGTCGTTATCACGTCGACAACGGTAAACCTTGTTAAACGCACAATCTTTAACCTCACCAATAATCTTGTAATCCTCCAATTTTGGTGGCGGCGGTTCATACCACCATGGATACCAAATTCCGCATGTGATCACCCTGTGTTATGTAAGAAAAATAACATCGATCAGCAAATTCAAATTACGTCAAAGATTGAAAGTACAGTTTATAAAATCCATTTGCAGTTTTAACTTCCACAGAGTGGAATCGAAACAGTTTCCTCATCAAGATTGACCGGAATCTAAACATTTCCAGTTTTACACGGAACAGAGAACAGGACAATCCGATGGCAGTGATTGACCGGAATACCGGAATGTAAACATTTTCTTCAGCAAGATTTATCAGAAAGTTCTTACCCGAGACAACAATCTAAATCACAGATCAAATTTTCTAAACTCAAAATAGCCAATCACTTCGGGATTAAGGACGAAGATACTTACACAGTTTCGCAGAAATGTCTGAAATTTTGAAGGCATTCACTCATTGTGAAAAGAGAGAGGGGAGAGAAAACGCCCATATTGTGAGAAGATATACTTAGAGAGATTAAACTCGGAATCACTCATACATATGTCATATGTATGTAAGAAGAGATTGAGCGAAGGGCGCAATTCAGAAGTGTAACGTTTGAAAGATAATAGAACGGAATTTCCCGCCTTATTGTGTAATGTGTAATTATACGCTTCTAAAGGCAAAATTAGTTAATTAATTGCAATAAAATTTGATAGGTTAAATGAATGAAGCAAAATTTCAGGCATCAAATTTGATAGGTTAACTACAATTGATGATGGGCTGATTGAATAAATTGCAATAATAATACTACTACCCTCCAGTCCTAATTATAAGATCCAGTTGACTTATTTGAGGAGATTAAGGAAGTAAGTTAAGTTAGTTATTGTAATAAATAAGTGTTGTCATTCCTAAAATATCCTTATAATCAAATGTATTGGCTAGAACTATCATTATTAGAAGGACTATCTTAGGAAAAAAAAATGCATAAATAAAGAGAAAAAATATTGGAATCTTATAATTAAGACCAACAAAAGTCAAACAGGGTCTTATATTAAGAACCCGTGGTAGTATAATCAATGAAAAGAGTCCCTATCATTTACAGGGACGAAACGTCGACGTTACGTGAGAAAGGGCAATCCCTTCTCTTCTTTTTTTTTCTTTTGTTTGCCAACAGGGCAATCTCCTTCTGTAGATTACTAGTACATAGTGGATGCATGTATATAAGCATATTACTACCCTCCGTCCTTATTATAGACTCAATTTGACTTTTTATTTGGTCCTAATTATAAGACCCAATTCATTTTGTCTCTTATATTTATGCATTTTTCCAAATAATCCTTCTAATAATGATAGTTTTAGCCAATATACTTAATTAGCAAGGATATTTTAGGAATGACAACACTTATTTATTATAAATAACAACTTAACTTACTTTCTTAATCTTCTCAATAAGTCATTGGGTCTTATAATTAGGACGGAGGAGTATTATATACCATCTGTCCATCCAAACACTAAAACAAAAAATGCAAACCCCTGTGCAACAACCAAAAAGTTTGCAATCATTTTTCTTTTCTATAAAACTATCTTTTATAATTTCCTAAGAATTCTAATACATATGTTGAAGAGACATATAGCTATATCTTACTTTAAGCTTATAGTACAGCAAAAGCACACCTTTATAGTGCATAATTTATACAAAATTTTAGTTTTTGGTCTCTTAATTTTATAAGATATTTTTTCAGAACTCTACCCTTAACAACATATTAATCTCAAATGATTAATTTTTTTTCAGTTAATTTTCCCCCAATATTTATTATATGATTTTTTTATATTAATATTAATTTTAGTTTCTGAAATTTGACCATGTTTTGATTTTAAGTGCTAATTGTAAAAGTGAAGATAAAATAAAAGTACTTTTGTCACTATAGTCTTGCCTGTTTTTAGCTTTTAATCGCGGACAACTGATTTTTAGAGGGAAAAGAAATCAAACGACTTGTCCATTCATCTATGAGGAGCTGACGTGAACACTAAAATAAGAGTATATGTTACCTTTTGTTACTAATATAAGAATTAGTTGATTAATTTAACTAGATTAAAAAATTAGTTAAATTAATTACTAGTTAAGTTAGTTATTTGTAATAAATAGGTATTGTCTTTTTCAAAATACACTTACTAATCAAATGTCATTTGACTAAATATTTAACATGTGCAATTACTATAAGGACTAGTTTAAAAATAAATAAATAAATAAATAAAAGAGATAAAGTGAATTTGAGTCTTATAGTTAGCACTAAATTGAAAATTAAACTAACTCTTATATTAAGGATCAAAGATAGTATATATAACTATGTACTGTGAACCATAATATAAAGGCCAGCCGTGTTCATCCCATAATTTCTTGCATATATGAGGCTAAGATAATGGTTAAATATTGATATGAAAATTGAATTTAAGATCTTGGTTAAATATTTAATAATAATGCTCAGATGAAATCGAAAGATTATCTTCCCACAAGCAACTTAGGGGGTGTTTGGCAAAACCAAAACCTAGGTTTTAGAATCACTTTTCCGCAAAACGAGGTAACCTCCTCCACATATTTACTTCGTAATCCGTAAAAGCACTTTTAAAACCATGGTTTGGTTTCTATCCAAACACCCCCTTAGTTAGCAAGTCTCAACTGATCCATTGGATTAGGCAAATGAACATGGGATATTTTAAGACTTAATTTTGAGTTGATTAATAATTTTTTTTACCCTCATTATTTTCCATTGAAAATTAAAAGATGAACCCTAAGCGATTCAAATTCAAATGAAAAGGAAAATATATATAATGAATACCCCACAAGAAATTAGACAGAAAACTTTGAACTGCTCCAAAATGTGAAGGGAATGAGCACAATCGAAGAAAAATCCGATAACATTCACTCAAAAAAAAAAAAAAGATAAAAGAAATGTCTGATTACAACTTCAAAATGTTGCCATGACACTACTGCACTCCAAAATCATCAATACGAGCATCTTCGATCTGGCGGACTAAACCTTCCCATCTGTTCTGCTGTTTGCAGAATCCTTCTCTGCGTAACCCTTTGAATAACAATTAATGAAAATGACTCAGTTCTAGCTTAATAACTCACACCGTGGGCTGATAGAGACCCAAGCTTTTTAAACCTTCATTATATGAACACGAGGCCAAAAAGATTTAACATATACCTCACCGGACCCCCTCTTAAATTGAAGTATTCATGATCAAGAGCTTCTTCAGCTGAAATTCTTCCTTCTGGATCCAGGCAAAGCATTTGCTGTCACTCACAATAAAATTATTCGTTAGTCATGAAAAGCAAAGAACAATTATGTGATGTACGAATGAAGGGGAAAACTGAACTTACGGAAAGAAGATCAATGCCTTCTGGTTCCAAACCAGGGAACTCTTCTACCAGGTTCTACACAACAAGAGATGCCAGGTTAAAACCGTGAAGCTTTTGAGGAATCTAGTGAAGAAATAAACCATACTTCAATTCGATAATCATATATACCTTTGGTCTATATTTGGGAAAGCGTGAAAGTGTTCTACACATCGTAGTCACTCCTGGCCAGGATTCCTCAGTTGGTGTACCTAACAAACTTCATATTGAAATTCCGTTGTTATTTTAACAGCATGATTCAAGACCATATTTATCACATAAACAATATATATATGTTTTTTGAGTTGTTACAAGTAAAATACCGGAAAATTGACATCAATTGTTCCCTTGGAGTTGTGCCCTGGAATATTGCTTTCCCAATTACCATCTCACCAAATATACAACCCACAGACCACATATCAACTGCCTTTGAAAATCGACGAGTCCCAAACAGGAGTTCAGGAGCACTGTACCGGGAGGTTTTTATCTGTCAAGAAGACATTGATTGCATAGAGCACACTTATACAGATAACTACCTTTGAATAATGCTGCTTTAGTTACTGATACAGACAATTTTATACACTGTGCCAGTCTCCAAATGCAAAAAGAAAATTGAAGAGTAATATTATCATACTGGATAAGACGCCCAGGGGTCTCCAAATGCACCGGCGAAGCCGAAGTCAGCTAGCTTGACTGAACGTTCACAGTGGCTATATCGCAGGTGTTCTGGCTTTATATCTCCGACGATAATCTCATAAGAATGATATTGTTCTACAGCAGAGAGTATCTGTTGAAGAACCAACTTCTTGGACGAAGAAAAGAATGTGAGCTATCAATTCCGTAACGTAGACAAAAAAATGTTCTTTTATATCACACTTGTTATGTAAAAAAGAGGCAAAACAATTTCGCACATACGATCCTGTAATGCAGGCATTAGATTTTCGGGGGGAAAATTGATAACAAAGAACGAAAGAAAGAACAGAAAAGATAATTATATTGTATTATGACTTCTTGCAAGTAAGAATGTCTTCAGATAGATTTTACCTATAACATCTCAGAAAGACTTACTTTTATCTGTGCTTCTCTCATGACCGGTGGTAACGTAATCATATGGTACAGATCCATGGAAAAATACTCATAAACAATATACAAGCACTTTCCCTTGCTGAACGTATCCACCATCCTGATGCATAAAACAACGTATATTATTTCATCAAATGTTTTATTTATTATTAAATACTTAACGCATTTTTTCTCTCAAACTTCAACTCTACCAGCAAAGTATCCAACACAAGAAATGTTCGTCCCATGACTGATTACTGTTCGAAAACCACAACTCCAAATACTGATCAGTAAAGAGTTAAAGACCAACCTTAAAACGTTTGGGTGATGAAAGAATCGAAGAAAATTCAATTTAGCACTTATCGATCTCCGAGCCTTTACATTATATTCGTCAGGAATGAAAATCTCCTTGATGAATACCATTCGTTCCTTGTAAGTTTGAAAGCAACGGTAAACCTTGTTAAACGCACAGTTTCTGACCTCCCCAATAACCTTGTAATGGAATTCCTCTAAATTGGGTGCCGATACAATCCAGGGATTACAAATTCCCCATTCGGAACAGCTCGTCACCCTGTGTTGTGTACAAAACCAACATCAGAAATTTCAAATTACATACAGAGATAATTAAAAGAGTTAAAAAGATACTAATATTGAAGGTGCTATAAATATTTTCTTCAGAAAGACTGATCGGAATTGAAAAATTTTCAGTTTTACAGGCTAGATCAAAGGCATGAACAGAAAACAGGATCAGTAGATATAGCATTGATTGACCAGGAACTAAACTTTTTCTTCCGCAAGATTCATCAGAAATTACAAATTCCTGCCGCAAAATACTCATCAATCACTTCAAGAATAAAGATGAAGATATACTTACACAGATTCGCAGAAACCCAGGACATTTTGAAGGAATTCACACATTGTGAGAAGAGAGTGGAGAGAGAGAAACGGAGATGCTTTAGAGAGACATTCAGGACTATGAGGATACTCAGAGAGATTTGAGTAAAAGATTAGGAAGAAATCGCTCGCATATATCGTAATAAGAAGTGAGCGACGGGGCGCAATTCAGAAAGAACGCTTGAAAGAAGCCAGTGACAGTTTTTCCCGCCAAATTAACTAATTCTGCAGGCAGCTATGGTCATCAATTTTAGTAAATTAACAAAAAAATAATGTAACTTTCTTGAACATAATAAATTCAAATTGGAATAATATTTCATGGGTTGACTTAATGATATTAAATTTCAGGGGCCAAATTAATGTCATTAAAATCTTTAATATCAATACGTAGAGGAGTAATTAATGCACACTGCTTTGGACATGCACTTGCAAATTCACTCACCGGATCCACAGATATGACTGTTAGGAATGGAAATATTGGAGGAATTCACTTAACCATAATTAATGATAGATTTCAAAATATTATAATTAATTAAAAGATTCGGAGTATTTATAAAATGGCCTTCACCTAATCTTTTATCTATAGCATGCATGAGGTTTGAACCATTTCAAAATCACGCCAGTCCTTAATACATGTTATTTGTAGGAAAAGTTTTTTCTCAAAAACATAAGTGGCATATTTAATGATTATTTGTATTTAATTCTCATTGAAAATAGAGAAAGATAGGGAAAAGATGTAAGAATAATTTGCAAATATGAAAAGAGAAAAAATTTTAATAAGAATAAATTAAACCTTTTTTATTAATTTAATGCATATGAGAATAAGTTATAATAAGTGACTTATAATAAGGATCTCGTAATGGTATTTACTACACTCCCTCCTATTTTTATTATAAATTTCAAATAAATAATAATTTATAGATAACGAAAAATTGGTTGAAATTACTTAAAAAAATAAATAAGTTTGAAATACAATTTTATTTTTAAATATGTCTTTATAATAAATGAGAAATAAGATGAAAAAAATATGTAGAAAAATGTGATTAAAAAAAAAATAAAAACAACATTAAAAAATATATTAAATATTAAGATAAATTCAAACTGAAACTTATAAAATGGACCGATTTAGAGCTTATAAAAGAAAGGAGGTGAAGAGGACTTCCGACAACGGCAACGTGCATTTGTTGTGGGCGCCACACTGAGGGCATTCTCTCAGAGACTGTCCGGAGATTAGAGCATTGTGGAGATCACTTACCAAACCCAGCATCGGGATTTACCTGTATCTGCTGGCTACTATGTGAACGAAGGAATAAAAAGATTTTTGAACGTAAAGACACGAGCTTGCTTAGTATTTTAAGTAGAGCGAGAGCAAATGTATCGGGATTTCTCCAGGCCAAGGTTCAGCTACATAAAGTCAACCTGAAAGGTGCAGAAAGGATGGAAAGAACGGATCCTCCAGAATTGAGTGAAGGTTTTGCTACTATACATGTTGACGACGGTGCATGCACACATCCCTTTTAGCAGAACTTTGGGCTATTCTTACAGGATTGAAACGGGCGTGGGATCAAGGCCACAAGAAGATATGTGTCAGAAGTGACTACTTAGAAGCTGTTGAGTCAATAAATACTGATAGCGATGACCTTCACCATTACGGAAACGTGATCACAGAAGCCCACAGTATGCTGCATTGGGAATGGACGACCTTGCTACGACATTGCAGCCGTAACGAGAACTGGGAGGCCGATTCATTGGCAAAGAGAGCTCTGGACTTGCCTCTTGGCCTGCATTTCGATTTTTCTACCCGTTACCTCTTGAACGTTAGTGGAGTAGATTAGTTTCTTGTTTTCCCTTCTATCCAAAAAAAAAAGGATAGGAGAGAGTATTACATTAGATTTGTTTTGTTTAATTTCACCATTCAGTAAGACGCATCACATCGAGTCAGTGATTAATTTATTTATAACAATAAAATACGATACTAAATTTAAAAGTGGAGGAAAAAAAATCTCTTACGTACGAAAAATAATCTAAATATATTAATTATTTAATTAAACTAGGTGACTAACTTTATTTATTGGCTTACAAGCCCAATTTTCTTTCCTTGTTTTTGACACCTTTTTAACAAGAAAAAAAGACTTACAAAATTAAAATTACCCAATGCAAATTTAAAAAATTTTGCCTTTAAATAATTTAAATATTAATTATTTAATTAAAATAAGTGATTGATTTGATTTATTGGCTTACAGTCACCGAACAAACCAAGTAATTCAGATTACTCACGTGTAGTTGTTACTGAGATGAATAACATACTCCTCTCCACTTTTTCATTTAAATTAATAAAAACTTCAATTTTATTAACTGTATCTTAAAATTTATTTTTTTTAAAACCTCACCTTTATTTTGTGTATACACTTTTCAGAAAAATAATTATCTATACAATAATAGATGAAAATAAAATTGTATATTTATATAAAAGATTTATGTGACTGTAAATAACTATAAAAGTAGAAGACCTTCTCTCCCCATTTTACAAAGGAGTAAAACCTCTAGTTTCTTTTAGACATCTTTCATTAAACTTACTTGTATGATAAATGCTTTTTATGACACCGTTCGAGCAAGTCTACTTGAGATTAAAACAAAATCTATTTTTAGCAGTGCTTTATGATAATTAAGCTTTAAACTATTTCGTTTCTACAAACAAATACCAATCTCCATAGCAAATCATTTCACGTAAAGGGTACTCATCAAAGTTATAAATTTTGATAAACACAAATTAAAGTTCGTCGAGATATTGAGGCCGAAGCATAAATCCGCCGGCTAAATTGCTACATATACAAGAGTTGGGATTCAAACCACAAACTTGCCTAATTAAGTGAACACAGACGTGATGCAAAGAGAACAAAAGAAGCAGAATTGGATTCAATTTTTCTTGGAATAACACAAGTTTAAGAGACATAGAAAGAAATGGGAAAGCTACAAAAGTTGATGCAAAATAATGATGATCTTATTTCTTGTGTCATAATCTCTCCCACCTCAAAAAATCAACATGAGATGTTTGAAGGCCAAAGTTTAACTTGAATATCCCAAAGTTCGAGCTTACATGGCTTCAAAATTACATGTAAACCACAAAACGCAAAATTTTTCTATACTTATAGAATGTGTTTGCATAACTTTCTCAAAAGAACTTTCCCTACAAACTTCCCCATTCTTACATCTGACAAAAGTTACATAAACTTTCATGTAAGCAATAACCGAACATACGCATAGCATTCAAAACCTGGACTCCTATCGGTAGCAAAAGAATATAACGGGGAAACTCAGCTTTTAATCCCTTCTTCTTCTGCATTCCTCGTTCCATAAGTGATGATTTGGGGACAGTAAAATGAAAATGATTAATCTGTGGTGTGTCCAACTAGTATTAGCTTCCGGGATGACCATCGATTTTCTTTGTACCACTAGGTCCAGCAACGTCTTGGATCACTTTTCTCTTGATCAGTGTTTTGCTTCGAATAACAATCAATGAAAATTAAAAATGAATCAGCTCTATTTGAACCAGAAGAACCAAAATGCGCACACACACACACACACCTTTCAGATTAGTGTTTGAGTCTGTGTAAAGGAGTCAGTAAATTTGTATACCACAAATCATTGTTGAAGAATGCATGGCCAAGAGCTGCTTCCGCTGAAATTCTGTTATTTGGATCAAGACACAGCAATTTCTGCCACTCATACAATAAAATTAGCAAAAAACTTAGCAAGAATCCGTATCAACATAAAACAATTAATCATACCAGTCATTTAATTAAACCTTAATTACGTACCGAAAGTATATCTATGCCTTCTGGTTCCAAATCAGGAAACTTTGAAGACAAGTTCTGCAAAATATAACAGATATATGCATGGTATGGTCAAAACTCGTAGCTTCGTTCCCTTCAGGATTCTACAACCACCCATCAAGTGAATGAAAAAACAAGCTGTGTTTTGACATATCATATATACCAGTGGCTCAAACTTGGGATAGAAGGTAAGTGTAGGGCATAGGTCACTAATTCCTGGCCAAGATTCCTCAGTTGGAGTGCCTAACAAACTTCATAACGATGAAATTCGCTTGTCATTTTGATTGCTTTATATCAAGCACATAAACTATCTCACACACACACACACACATAAAATAATGTACCAGAGGTAGAGAACTTACCGGAAAATGGTTCTTAGCTGATCCTGATTGCTTTTGCCAAGATGAAATAGAGGCTTCCCGATGACTATCTCTCCAAATATACAACCTACGGCCCACAGATCAGACGCCGGTGAATGTTGATATGAATCAAGCAAGACCTCAGGCGCAGTATACTCGGAAACTGGTATCTGTAAATAAGTGCTATGAGCAGTAGAAACGACTATATATATATATATATATATATATAAACACCTATGTATATACGTGATTTAAATAAACATAAAACCCCAAGTGATTCTACATTTTGTATAGAGTACAAAATCGAGAGATAGGTGGTATTATCATACATCACAAGGCTCAGGATCTCCGAATGCACCGTACAAACCGAAATCACCTAGCTTGAGGTAACCATCACGAAAATCCATTAGTAGATCCTGCGGTTTCAGATCTCGGAGGAGAAGCCCGTGAGAATGATAGTGTGCTACAGCAGCGAGTATCTGATACAACAAATACTGCGAGGACAAGCAATATTCATAAACTATATAAAGCGTAAGCTGGACAAGGAATATTCAACAGGAAGATTAACTTACATTTCTTTGTTTTGGATATTTACAGTGTTCTGGTAGGTTCATGAAATAGTACAGATTTGGGCTGATATACTCAAAAACAAGATAGAGATAACATCCCCTTTTCAATGTATGAAGCAACCTGAAGAAATGAAGAGATACATATCATGAGCAATATCATTCTCTCGAGTGTTTTCATTCAAATCCAACGTACGTAAAGATTATGCAGTAATCAGCCTGATGACAACGTTTTGATGACCCAATTTTCCAGAAAACAAGAAAATTGAACTTTTCTTCCATGAATGATTATTATATTTGCAATAATATAACTAAACAATGTTGGAAACCTGACAACGTTTTGATGGTTGCAATCTTTAAGAAACGCGATTCTGTCATCTATCATGACTTCTTCACTTTCGTCACCAGCGTAAACCTCCTTGACTGCCACAACTCGATTACTGTCCAGTTCATGACAACGATAAACCTTCCTAAACGGACCGAATCCTACTGGCTCAATAACCCTGATGTTGAACTGATCTAAATTCAGATCTGCTTTGCAACTCCTCCAACGATACCAAATTCTGCATTCCAAACAGCCCAACAACCTGCAGAGTATCAGTAAAAGAATGAAAAAGATATACAACATTATTGATTGATCGAGAATACTATCCATAAAAGTCATTTGCATGGAATCTTGTAACTCAAAAGGAGCGAAAGCAGTTGATTGATCGGAATCGAAATTCCAGAAACACTTACAAAGATTTGAATACGTTGGTCTGTTCAAGGATACCGCTCATTGTGAGACTGAGAACTGGGAAAAAATCAGTGAAGAGGGAATGCAGAGAGTGAAGAGGGAGCTAGCGATTGCGATTCTTGAAAGTGATCGTCGAAGATTTATAAAACAACATTTCCCGGCCAAAACGGATAGGGAAGTAACTGCTTCACGTTTGGTTCGTTCATTGGTTCGTTTTGGCGTCTCAAGGCATGAAACCAATGAAAGTGGAAATATATTAAATATTTGTATTTAATTTGTATTATCCATCTCACCTTTTTTGTTTTTGTTTTTTTTGGTGAAATAGACATATATCGTATCTGAAAAATCATAACATTACCTTCTTTTTCAGATATATCATTTTATCCGTCAATGTGTCACTCTATAAATTCCATGCAATGTTTGGCCCAAAAAAAAACTTCATGCAATGTGTATCGAAAAATCTGTCTACATACTGTTCATTCTTATTTATTTTTATTGATTTTCTGCCTAATAAATACGATGTTTTTTTTTTTAAAAAAAAAACGACGGTGACCAAATTACCCAATGTTACTATGGGAAGAAATTCAAGGCCTATACCAAAAAGAAATTCAATTTGGAAAATATCTATAACCGCGTGAAGAGGTAAATATCCCCTCTCTTCAATTTTGAGCATAATTATGGATTATATCTCCACATACGATGTCAGCTCAAATCCTATGAATGGTGTGGAAAAAGATTTTAGTTTCAATGTTCTATATACGCAGATTTTTTTTTGCGATACACGGAAAAATTAATAGACATGTAATTGGGAAAGCAGTCAGGAATGAAGTTCAATGTTCTTAATTAATTCATCATTTTGTAATTTCTCTCGGGCCACCCAGATGAATGAACCTAACTCTAATATATATTTATTTCTGAAGAAATATGAAATAATAACAGATGCCTCAGTTCTTAATGTGTGCGTGTATATATATACACACACATATATGCCGATTTCTCAAGTTAGAACGCAAGAAAGCAAAACGGGGAGGGTTAGGTTTGAATGAAAGGGGTATATATACACACACACAGACACACACACATATACCTGTGTGTATTATATATATGGATCCTTGTAGAACGGATTGGAGAGAATATACAAGAGCCTAGTCTGATCTTTAAGAGCATCTAATTCCTCTCTGATCTTTAAGAGCACAGACTAAAAGTTAACAGTGACGATGTTAATTAATGGGGTTAATCTGGGGATTACGGTAAATTTATTGTTTGGTCCTAAATCAAAAGCTAGATATATATAACTAATTCACATAAATTAAAAAATTAGTTATAGGATAGACCTCAACAAAAAAAATAAAAATGAAGAATAACAGCGGACATGTGTGGGAAGGTAAAGCAGAAGGGGATTTCTTATCTGGAAAAGAAAAGAAATATTTTCACGTAATCAACGAAATAATTATAAATTTGAAAATATAACAGTCACGCGTGCTATTTCACATTATTGAAAATTTTGATAGCAAATATCTAAAAAATTAAAATAATATTGTTTTTTAACCGTCATCATGTGGGGAAAAAAATGTACGACTTCTATTGATGATTTTTTTTTAAAAAACAAAAAAAAAAAAGGCGATCGATCTTTCTACTGCATCCATGCATCCATACGACGATGTGTAATCACAAAGATCTCAACTCATATATTGTCAACTCGTCGCGGTCTCCGGTATTACTTCCTCCTTGGCCAGTGATTGGCTCTTTCGTGTCCCAATCTTTCGTTTGCCTTCCTTCTTGACCAACGATTTATTTTGACTGATAATGTTATGTACAATCAATGACCAAACTTTTGAAATTAAATTAGGCCCTACTGAAGTTAAGACACAAAAGAACATCGGTTTGCTAGCTAGCTAGGTTTAATAGCTATTATATATAGCGCAAAAAAAGCAAGTTGTATATGATGAACATAATCCGCATTTTTACGTGCGTACTCGTGTTTTATATATATATATATATATATATATATATATATATATAGTTGAAGACAAATATAAAAGTTGTGTCTCGTATTTTTTGTACTACTCTATACGTAAATGCATAGTGACAGAGGATCTAATTTATTAGACTTGACAGTGGATATAACCAATACTAACTCACAGGAATTATTTTTCTGAACGACTTGCAATTAGCAGCAAGAGATAAAACTTAGGGAAATAAGATCAAAGCCTTCTGGTTCCAAGCAGTGAAATTTGGTTGCCAAGTCCTGCGGAGCAACACACACACACACACACACACACACACACATATATGATATCTGGTAAAAAATCTCATAGCTTTCAAAGATTCTGTAACATGACATCTAATTATGATCAAATAAGCCATTGATCCGCATCCGCATCTAACTATAAAACTGGATTTGCAGTAAAATGTAATCTGGGCCACCATCTTGAGCTAAGTTATCCAGTTGACTTGAAAAATCAAATGAACAAAAAATTATAGATTACACTGGGGTTTTTAAAAGATATATATTTGTGTAAGAAAAAACTGATTTAATATTAATTAACAAAAGCGCAATTCAAAACTAAAAAAATTACTTAAAAAAATAACAGCTCAATCAAAAAACTTCGCTCTATGATGCTAAACCGTCCTCATCTCAAAACTCATCAATTAAACTAATGTTTATGTTCTGATATAATTAAGTGAATATGCAAACTACCAAACTTTCCCAAAATCAAAATGTCAATCAAAAAATAGTCTAGCAATACTCACACTGCCAAACAACTAAGAACAGCGATAAAGTAATTGCAAATCACAGTTAGCCTAATCCTAAATATCTAAATCAATTGATAAATGCATAAAACTCTCACATGGAACCGTAGAGGAATGAACTAAATAAAAAAATTATACATAACCTCATTACCGAACTTTATTGCATCAAAGTTACAGGTGATTACACTTGAAGTGCATCACTAAAATGGATAATAAAATAGAATAGTCTAATTAATCTCTATTAGTCAAAATTCATCACTAAAAAGACCAAATAAAAAGAATAAAACATATAAAAATATGATTTATCAACCATACTTTCAATGATCATACCATTGGTTCAAATTTAGGGAAGGAAGGAATCCTCACTTGGAGTATTTAACAAACGTCACATTGAAATTTCCCCGTCATTTTGATTGCTAAGCAGGTAATTTATGCGCATAAACAGTTATGTTTCTAAAGTAGAAGTTACCGACCACATATCAGCTGCCAATCAACATGCGTTGAAGCCAAGTAGGGCTTCAGGTGCCACGTACTGCAAAGTTATTGATGTTATCTGCCAAGGGCAAATATATACTCCGCCAATTATAAGACCAATGACTTGAGGAGATTAAGAAGTAAGTAAGTTGGTTAATAATAAGGTTGTCATTCGCAATTAAGTATTGCTCATCATTAGAAGGATTATCTGAATGCATAGCAAATGGATATAATTACAATAAAACAAATAAGGACAATAGGAATGACCAAGAAGTCTACATTTACTCATCAGATGTTTTGTTACGTACAGAAGAATGAATATGTGAAGCATGAACAAAAAGGAGAAGGAAGGATTTGTATTATCATACAGGGGAAGAGGTATTAAAATCTTCAAAGTCTGCAAGCTTGAGCAAATGATTGGGAAAATCAATGAGTATATGCTGTGGCTTGAGATCTCCAATGAGAATCCCATGAGAGTATCTGACGCAGAAAGCCCTGCTTGGACAAGAAAACCCAAAAATAAATATATAAATAAGTAATTTGAATTCACCAGTCTGTCCTCATGCTATCAATTTTAATTACCACGTCGCAGCACTTGATGCCTGAGACTGTCACAGATTGCCACTCGGTTGCCTTGATGTCGTACGAAACAAATGGGGCAATCATATCCGTGTTTTATCAATAGAACTAAATTGAACTGTAACTACTGAATTTACATCAATATAACTTCGAGACCCCAAAAATAAACGAAAGAAATAAAGAAAGAAACGCCATATATTACTTGTAGCCCTTAATACGAAAATTAGTTTGACATTCAATTTGATCATAAATATAAGACCTCAATCTATCTTGTCTTTCATATTTATTTATTTTTTTTAATTTATTCCTTGTAGTAATTGTACAAGTTAAATATTTTATCAAATAGTAGTTCTAATTAATACACATAATTAGTAAGGATATTTTAGAAAAAACAACACTTATTTATTACAAATAACTAATTTAACTAATTTTTTTAATTTACTTAAATTAATCAATTAGTTTTTATATTAAGCACTAGAAATGTATAACGGAGGTGCTAATAATATGTTGGCCGGGGATACAAGAGAGAGATGAATGATCTCTACAGTTCTTTTTCCACGTCAGTATTCTCTGCAACCTGATATAAACGTCTTAGCCCATCATACATACTAATGATTAAAGCTATACATCGCATAGGAAATAAAATGTAAACTCCAAAGATAAAATTAGTTAAATGGTGATAGATTGAGATTCATGAACATATTCATGAAGGAATATTCAGCAGGATTTCTTGATCTCTCATGAACATATCCAAAAAGCATAAAAAACCTTCACCCCCTTACTGATTACGCAAACCATAAACCCAAATACGAAGTGAAGACTCTAAGACCAATGGCAAGAAGAGAATCAACCTGACAATGTTTTCATGATTAGTGAGCCCCGAACAGCTTCATTTTCATCATTAATTACAATCTCCTTGATGACCACGACTTGATTGGCGTCACGATAACGGAAACGGAAAACCTTGTTGAACGCACTGCTTCTAACCCGTGCAACGATCTCGTAGCTGAATTCCTCTAGACTGACCTCTCTTTTGCTCCAGCGGTTCCGAATTCTGCATTCAAAACAAAATGCCCACCTGTGTGCAAAACTAATCTTAGAAAATTCAAATTTCGAAGATATAATTGAAAAGGTTGAAAAGATATACGATCGACGATAACTGAGATCGGAAGTACTGCATTCATAGGAACCTTTTCCAGTTCTACACGAATCTTCCGTCCAAACTCAAACAGATGATTTTCCAACAAAAGAGCGTTATATAATTTTCTCAGATACACGGTTCTAATGCAAAAACAAAGAACAGAACGGTTAGATAACATTGATTGATCGGAATCTAAACATTTTCTTTAGCAAGATTTATGGGAAAAAAATACAAGTCATAATCTGAATCACCATCCAACTTCCATGTTCAAAATGCTCAGTCAATTCAGGATTAAAGATGGAAGATGAAAATACTTACAGAGCTTCGCACAACTTCAGAAGGAAATCGTTGAGAGGCATTCTCAAGAGAAAGTGGAGAGAGAACCGAGATTTTGTGGAGAACGGAAACTCAGAAAGATATAAAACGGCATTTCCCGCCAAAACAAAGAAGTGTGGCGAGGTGCCAATGTACATCCCCGCCAGCAGCAGTCAATACCGTAATTAAATATCCAGTCAAAAAGTGAAATTGTTACTGATTATTTAATTACTGATTATTTATAATGCGATACTATCAGTGAAGCTTATTGCTCATTCAGTTCCCTCTTCCCAGAGTTCATAAATTGAATAGATAGATCATATAATGCAAAGAAATCGTACGACGTTATCTAATAGCTGAATAGGGATTTTTTTTTTGGGTCACTGTTGAATAGGGATTTATGCTTCGGATTTTATTGATTTCTTTTTTTAAAAAAAATTACTCCAAGTATATAGATTACGTTTGTTTACAATCTGAAAAATAAATTATGTCGGTACCGTTTGATAAAATAATAAAATGTTGGGTATAAAGATACACATCAACATTTTAAAACAAGACCAAATTGTCATATGTGTTAAATGCTCCAAACATCCATTAGTTTTTTTCCGTGGATCCCACCAAATGCATAAATTTTTCTCTCCAAATACTTCTTCTGGATTTTAAAATAAGAACTAATTTGATTTTTATTTTAATTCTAAATATAAGATCCTAATATATTTTATTTCTCATATTTATCTATTTTTTAAAGATAATCTTTATGATAATGGTAGTTCTAACAAGTATATTTGATTAGCAATAATATTTTAAAAAATACAAAACATATTTATTATAAATAAATAACTTAACTAATTTTCTTAATTTACTCAAATGAATCAATTAACTTTTATATTAAGGATTAAAAATAATATATAGACTACATTTGCTTAAAATCTGAAAAATAAATTATCTCGGTGCCATTTGTTTTGGCACTCCACATAATTTGATAAAAAATGACCAATTGTAATATTAAAAAAGATTACTAACTACCACTCTGTTACTTATTATAAGTCATTTGTATCTCAAAAGTTTGTTTCAAAATATAAATCACTTATAGTATAATTGATGATCTTTTTTCAATTTTACCCCTATTAATTTAATAAAAAATTAATTAATCTCTCTCTATCTCTCTCTTAACTTTTCATTTCCTATGCAATCTATCCTCTTCCTCTTTCTCTCTCTCTCAACTTTTAAGAAGAGTAAATATGGGGAAAAAAAACTGGTTAATTTAATGTATTTTTTGGTTTGTGGGTTTGGGACACAAGTAACTTATAATAAGAAAAAGAGTGGTACCATAATAAAATATTATGTGTAAAAATATACTCTTTTGGTCTTAATTATAAGGTATTTTTAGTATATTTCACATAGACAAAAAAAACCTGAAATTTCATCAATTCTCATTTAAAATTTAATAATTTTCCAACTTTATCCCTATTTAATATATATTATACCTCATGTAAACAAAGTTAATATAATAATAAATGAATAATAAAATTATACATCCATATAAAAAATTTCTCTCAATACTTTATAAATAAAACCAAAAGATGTCTTCTTTCTTTGTTATAAATAGCACTATAAACATTTTAAATCGGATAAAAATGTCATATCCGTTGAGTTTTCCGAACGTCCGTTAGTTTTCTTTGTGGGTCCCACCAAATGCACATTCTTCTCCCTCCCCCAACCCTTCCCGGTCAACTCTGCCTACCCATCAATCATTCAGGAAAATTAGATCCCCTCCATCACTCCAACACGTGCACCAATCAAGCAACCATTCATCATCATTCCTTCCTGTATCTCTCCTCTTTCTCTCTCCCTGCTCCCTACCTCCTGCTCGACGATAGTAGCGCCACACAGCTACTTCTCACCGATAAATCCCATCAAACCCAACCTTACTCTCATCTTGCCTCCACAGTCCACAGCCACTTCCCACCCCAAACTAATGGATACCTAACCTCCGTTATCTCTCATGTTATTCATCTTCGTCAGAGTACTGCTACGAAGTGAATGACCAGCAGCAGCGATGGCGTCCTAGATTCTTCCTCCACCTGTTCCCAACGGCGTCTTCTTCATCCAGCTTCAGTGACAGTGTTGAGCTTTGCTCTTCTCGATGTCGACGACTGCTATGAAGATGAAGATAGAAGAATAAAATGGCAAACGGCGTCGTCCCTCTCGTCTCCTCTCCAAACGTCCACAGCCTCCATCCAAGGTCCTCCTCTGGTTCAGTTCATGACGGTGCCTCTGGTTTAATTGATTTTCTTAAGCTTTGAACCCTTAGATTTTTCACCATCTCGAATCATTGCCTACGCTCTGTCAGATGAAAAATCAGGGATGAATTTAGGAGAGGAAGTAAGAGAGAGCGAGAGTCCACGGCCGAAAAAAGTTGAGGGGAAAGAGTTGACAAAGATGAGAGAGATGCCGGGCCAAGAGTTGACACTTGTACATCATGTGGAACTCAACAGAAGAAAAAAGAAAAAGAAAAAGAAAATTAACGCCCGTTTTAACAATATTTTTGTACCGTTTAGAAAGGTTCATGTATATTTTTTTCTTCCAACATTTTATTATGATGTGTTATTCCTTTTCGATATTACGAGTAAATCTGTCTTTTTACCTTTTAATAAATAAATTGAACTCATGAAAGATAAAATTTTAAAGTTGTACAACTTATTTTATTGTAAATTATACAATCATTACAAAAACAAATGCATTTCAAGTGAATTAATTAACTTATTGGGTCGCTTAATTTCAAAACAAATTGTTGTGAAATGTATAAGCCCATTCTCATGCATTATGCCGTGCGGGATACGTGGCTGTAACAAAACTAGAAGGAAACCCGCATCATTAAGGCATGGCATCTTCTAATTTTGTCTAACTTATTCCTTTTTCTGTCCAACATTGAATGGAGTATAAAATTTTAATTTACATTTAAGCAAAGTCGTTTAATTCAATAATGCTGGAATATATTTTTTTTTTTTTTTAAATCTCGTTTTTAGATGATCTTCGGTATACATAGAACACACATTGATCTCAGACGGATTTTTCTTTTTTCAAACCAACCGGATATATTTAGGATATTTCCCAGAAAAACCTTTGTTTCACTTTTTTAGTTTGTGCTGAGTTATCATTCAAAAGTCAAAGATAAAGGAATGCAACCACAAACCATAAAAATCATAGTTCAGTAAGAGTCTACAACAGAGCAGCAGGCCAAATTCTTTAGTCTTGTGCTACCAAGAATACATGAACTTATTGTTGAAAACAACTAAATGGCATCAGAATAATGTGAAGCACATCATCAAAAGACTGACTGCTTCTTACTCGTTGGAAGGTGCATCCTCTGATGGAACACTTCCTCCTTCTATAAAAGGCAGAACCCATATCAGAATTTTGTTCACTTCCCTGAAGAAGCTAAAAAGAAGAAGAAACAATAACATTCCACAGAGAAAAGCAAACGGATTCAGAAAAGGCATACCTTCTCCTGAAGGAGCACAAAATGACTTCCTGTAACGTGTTTGCTGTTGTGTTGGCTGAAAATGCAGAATTGCCAGACAAAAACTGGTCATTCACATTTTGAGGAAATGGCAGTAAAATTTATAAG